TTGTTCCCCCCCCCCAGAACACAGTAACTACCCAAAAGAGCTGCTCCCCTTCCCCCTCCGCCCCTGCTCCGCCCTCCTGTTACTAGAGAAGAAAGGTGCCTGCTTTGGGCTCCTGGCCAGTCACCACTTACACAGTGATTGTGCCACCTCTGTCCACACAAGGGCCCTTCCCCAGCTCTGCCCTCTCCCTCACATCCAGGTCCCATTCCCTATTGTGTTGTTCTTATCGTACTGTTCCTGTACAACTTCATCTTCTAAACTCCCTTTGCAGGCCTCTATGTTTTACTGTTTGCACCTAATCTATATCCTCCTTTGTAGCAAATTCATTGTGCTACAATCTCTTTAATCTTTTGTCCCCAGTGCACCATTGCTATTGAAATCTCTCTTATTGAGGTCCCAAGTGACTTCCTTGTCATCAAATCCAGTGGTAGGTCCTGAGCCTTCAGCATCCCAGACTGCTGGGACAACAAAGGGCAAGGTCATTCTCCCTCCTTCTCAAGGAACTACCAAACCAGACAGTTCCACCTCCATCCTCCGGCTGCTTCTCACCCTCTGATTCTACATCTGGAGGAATCCAAGCAGTGATATCCTTCTGATGTCACTAAGATGGAGGAAGCTGAATGGGAACCCTGGGATTTTATACAAACATACAGGATTGCAAACACACAATGTATTAATTTGATAAAACTAGAGAACATAAACATTTAATCTAACAGAAGTTTGATTTTGTGTTGTCAAAAGAAACAGCTCTCACTTCAAAGGAATAAAGGACATGGTTTGTTCAGGAATAAAACTTGAATGACCCTGACTGAGGACATACATTTAGGTCTCCCCAAATATAGTGTCCAACATGGAGGCAGTTTCAAAGACTTTGATGGTAAGAGAATGAAGAAAGTTATAAATCAATGCATTTTTTTTTTTTTGGTTTTTCGAGACAGGGTTTCTCTGTGGTTTTGGAGCCTGTCCTGGAACTAGCTCTTGTAGACCAGGCTGGTCTCGAACTCACAGAGATCCGCCTGCCTCTGCCTCCCGAGTGCTGGGATTAAAGGCGTGCGCCACCACCGCCCGGCCTAAATCAATGCATTTTTAAAATGCATTGGTGGAAACCTCAGAGAGAAAAGTTACAGTAAGATGGGGGAGCTCTGCTAGCTCTGTTACTGGCCTTGGATGCTGTCTCCAACACTCTTAGCCCTCTGGTAAGTTAGAACATTCCAAAGGCTTCTTTGCTGTCAGATTTAGGTCTGGCTAGTAGCAGGGTGTTAGGTCGGACAAAGAGGGACAAAGAGTGTCTTATTAGGGTGCTGGAGACCACCCTGGATGAAGTGTCCTGAGGCTCTGGGGCTGCAGTGTTCAACCCCTCCACATCACCCAAGTTTCAGGCGTCAACCTGTGTAGACAGTTTCTACCCTGGAATTCTCCTTCCCGGAGGTGATAAACGAGGCACCGCCATAAGTGTTGCTGCAATAAAGACAGATTGCTGCCTTCAACGACCTAAAGAGTCTCTTTAAGTATTTTAGGGATATACCTAGACTCAGGAAAATGTTGACTTCAACACAAGAAAGAATTTCTTGGCAAGTAAGCATGAAGCAGAATCGGAGTTTATCAAAAGACAACTGGTGTAGGTGGCTGGGGGGATGGCTCCGTTGGTAAAGTACAGATCAGAGTCCCTGGCACCCACATAAATAGCTGAGTGTGTTGTGTGAACCTGCAGTCACCGTGTAGAGGGTAGAAGGCAGGAGAATCCTTGAGGCTTGCTAAACAATCTGTTCAGCTGAATCAGCGAGCTCCAACTCCAGGGAGAGATCCTGACTCAAAACAGAAGATACAGAGTGATAGGAAGAGGAGGGGGGGAGATACTACTTTGACCTCTGACCTCCACCTGTACTCCGCCACACACATATATACACATGCAGAAGAAATAAAGGATTTTTTTATTTAACACAGAATTTCAAGCACAAGAGTTGAGGGAAAGAAAGAAGTTTGGGAAGAAAATGAGACACTGCAAGGGCAATGGGCATGGATTTCTCTAAGAGACTCTGCAGCTCATTGCCTTTAATATAGTCATATATGCCACTTTGGTGATGTTGCCAAGGAAACAGAATGAGATGACAAGTCTAAGGGACAGTTGACATGACTTTGAACAGGCAACCGTCTAGCACCAAGGGATGCAGGAAGGTATCTTCATCACACAGCAGAGTTTATAATAGTCTTGTTTGAGATCCCCACTTGGAATCTTGGAAAAGAAATGAGGCCCTTCTCTTGACATAAAATGTCTGTACAGAGACGGGATAGTGTCTCCTTGCGGCAGCCTTGGTGCCAACACATCACAGCAAATGGCAAAGTTGAGGAAGCTTGATGCTCGGCTGGGACAGACTTTAACCAGAGTCAAGGATGAGGGCCTTTTTCCCTGCCCATGGTTCTCCATGTCTTTGCGTCCTGCCTCAGCAAGCACTAAGAATTCCATCAGACTAATCAGCTTTATTTCCCCTCCTGCTTTTGAGCATGTACAGAGTAGTTTGTGTCTGCCAACTACTTGTGACAAGCATTTGTGAATGTTATCTTAGTTAATTTTCATAAGTATCTGAAGTTGGTTCCGTTGTTGTGTCCAAGTTACAAGTGTCTGAACAAGGTCAAGATTATGGCTGAGCTGAAAGGCTGAAATCAAGAGGAAGGCAAGAGCCTGGACATGACAAATGTGTAGGAAGCCAGCATGAAGGCTGATATCACTAACAATGTAGGAGGTGCTAAGAGTAGAGAGGAAGCAGTGGTCCTCGTGTTTAGATGTCTTTGAGGGGAAGTGGATTAAGACTCTTACAGGACTGAAAGAAATGGGGGACATTGGGTGGGTGATGGCTTGGACTTTACGAAAGAAGGTTTTTGTTTATTTGCTTTGACTCAGGGTCTCATGTAGTCTGAGTTGAATACTTATCACAGGATAATCAGGGATGCTTGATCCTCCTGCCTCTACCCCTGAGTGCTGGGGTGACAGAAATGTGCCACCACATTTGAGTTGACAGTGGGAGGCTTTGTAAGGATGGGGAATGTAAATACTCAGTACTTAGAGGTATCAGTGAAGAACCAAGAGACACATGTCTTGTTCCAAGTACTTAAGAGCCTTGGGTGTCTGTGGCCAGAGGAGCGGTGTGTGGAGAAAGAAAAAAAATCAAAACCATCATTGGGAAGAGCGACGGGAATGCCAGCTGATTCATCCATTGGAATTCCCAGTTCTCAGACAATAAACAACAGACATTTCAGAGAAGAGACGGCAATAAAGAAGTCTCTTCATGACAGAACTCTGAAAAAGGTTCAGTGGACAAGCATGAGCACTAGGCGGAGACTGAGCTAGACCTGAGCCAAGATACATGTGGGGGAAGGGAAGATGAAACATTTGACTCCAGGGATTGGAGGGAGTACAGAGGAGGAGCACACACAGTTGAGGTGTAGGGATGGGGGAGGAGGCGTCTGCTGCCACTAATGTCCTAGAGTCTGGCAACCTGAGTTCTGTAAACTTTGTGGGAGTGAGAGAAGCCCTTGTTGTTCTATAATCTTGACCCCAGGGGGAGTGTGCTAAGAGCTTGGAGATCTATGGACAGGCTCTTGGTAGGGTTCTTGCCACAAGGAGGCCGTTGCAGGTAGGCGTGACCTGAGAGCAGTCTAGCTGGATTCAGCAGTATGGAGACAAGAACATAAAGGTGACCTAGGAGGCTCAGATTTAGGAGATATCTAGAGCTTCTGGCTTCAGGGAAATAAACGAACCAGAACTACCCTAGTTCTTGTGACTCTCTCACAGAGCTGGATTAGACATCCGTGTTAACAGCATCAACTGCTAGGCGAATGCGTGATCATTGTGAGGGATAGAACCTGGTGCCCCAAGAAGGGTGGGGCAGACACTCACTTAGCACCTCAGATTGCAGGAACTTCTGTCTTAAGTAGCAGAGGCGCTGGGGAGGGCTCTCAATGGATAAAGTGAAAGTATGGCACCTTGGGTTTGGGACCCCACACCTCTGGATAAGCACACGTCTGGAACCCCAGTTTTGGAGAGGCAGAGCCAGGCGGATCCCAGCAACTCTTTGTTCAGTCAATCTAGCCCAATAGGCAAGCTGGGGGTTCACAGAAACACACACTCCATCTTAAAACCTAAGACAGAGAGTGGTAGAGGAAGTGACATCAGTCTCCGGCAGCCAGAGGTGCCACTTGCCGTTGCACAGGTGGAGTACACAAGGTCAAAGACACCGTGGGGGGTGGGACCCCACTCTGCAGCTTAGCAGAGCTTCCTGCTCCCTGACGTCTCCAGGCTCCCGCTAACACCTCTCCTTTTTAGGAGAGCCTGGACTTCAAGACAATCTCCTTTCGAGGGAACCTGAAGCTCTCCTGCAGCACCAGCTGCAGCCCTCTTGACAACCATGTAGAACTGTGTGATCATGTGGCGATATGTAATACGATATGATAAGCAGTAAAGATAAGAAGAAAATAGGCGGCTCCACGGATCAAAGCCAGCCAGCCCCTCACATGTGAGACAACACCTACTCTCAGCTGCTGGAAAGGCCGGTATTAAAAGATTTTACCTGTAATCACAGCACTTGTGGGAGGCTGAGGAAGGAAGACTGATTTATAGTTCAAGGCCAGCCTGGGCTACTTAGGAAGAACAGGACTCAAAAAAAAAAAAAAAAGATAAAAAAAAGAAAAGAAAAAAGTCACTCAGCAGGGGAGTGAGGGGCAGATGTGGGGGGGACAGTTGGGGTGACTGTTAGTTAGGATCATGCTTCCATCTGTTTCCATGGCTGGGCAGATATAAGGCTGACGACCAAGGACGCCTCAGAGCCAGCCAGCCAGAAAGCAGCCAGGAGCAGGGCAGCTATGTACATGTTAGAGATGATGTTTTCCTTTGACTTGGTTCTGAGACCTTTGGCCCAGTTTTCCCGAAGCAGGCAGAGGCCTCGATAAGCTGAGGCGGAGCTTCCGGAGGCTGGAGTCCTGGAGACTTATAAAGCCCAGCCCACAAGTGCTGGGCATCTCTCCCAAGGTCCCCGGACTGCTACTGGCTCTCTGCTGATACCCAAGAGATGCAGCGGCTTTTGGCTCCAGCCAGGAGGGTCCTCCAAGTGAGAAGAGTGTTGCAGGAAGCTTCGCTCACACCTGCTCACCCGCTCTCAGCAGCCCAGCAGAGGTGAGTCGCCTGCGTTGAGGGTCAGACAAGCAGGCAGAGGACCTGTCGGAGAAAAGTCACTAGAATCCCGGGCAAAAGCTGGTGAGGCTTGCACTGAGCCCTAAACACACAAGTTGGCTTCAAATGAGCTCTGTTGCCTCTGTACTAGACAGCGCTTGCCAGCTGTTGAGCTGGAAGTATCCAAACCAAAGTCTCTGATGCAGGTTGTTTAGGAAAAACAGCATCCTTTCCTCTGCCAGCTGCACAGGGATCCCGCGGCTGCAACTGGATCCCCCAACTGCAACCAGATCCCACAGCTGCAACCTTAGTTCAACTGCTCACTTTAGCTCAGGGCAGCAAGACCTAAAACGTACCAAAAAGAGGAAGCTGTGTTTCTCCATGCTTCAGTTTTATGAGATGAAATATAGAAGGTGGGTGTGTGTGTGGGGGGGTGGGGATGTGCATGTCCTTATGCAAGAACACTCATGCCTCGATTCTTTGTAAACACCCTTTAGTCTGGTCCAAGTACTTGTGGTTGCCCAGAACTAACGGGATACAGCTGTGCTTCGTGCTTTGGGTTCCCAGCTGCCCCTGAATTATTTTCTCCTTTGCTCACTGCCCACTGAGATCATAGTCCCAAGGCTTCCCTTCACTTACACTCATGAACACGAAATATTTGGGAAAGCCCTTTGCTCTTGTGTCTTCCCTTGCCTGCTCTCCAGGAAGCCTGGTATAGGTGTGGAGGAGAGGGGACAGACAATGCCCTTCACCTTTTTTCTTTTCTTTATGACTCAGCCATCATCTCCACTCTCCCACCCCTTGCAAAACTACTGGATTTCAATAGAATATTCCAGTTCAGAATCTAGCTTGTTTCTGCATGAGGAAGTGGTAGACATGATTTACTAATTTCAGGTCTGAACAATGGTGATCATTCCATGCCCCCCCCCCACTTTTTGAGAAAGGATCTCTCTATGTGGCCTTGACTGACCTAAAAACTCACTATGTAAACCTTGACTGATCTAGAACTCAATATGTAGAAGAGGCTGGTCTTGAACTCATGCAGATACATCTTCCCGTGCCTCCAGAGCACTGGGATTATAGGTGTGTGCCACCAGCCACCACACCTGGCACAGACTTTCCCTAAGCAACAGTGGACCACTACCCAAGCCTCCTTCCTCATCAACGCTCTGTGGCTTCCTTGGTTCATGCTCTGGAATCCTTGTTCACATTTCCCTTTTGGTGGCCTCATGGTTAACCCCAGTGCTGGCTGCCTGAACTACTAATGCCTTTGTAGGTCATCTTTGCTGTAGCTCACCTCTAATCCAACCAGCATCGGTTTTAAGTCCACCCCAGAATAATCGCCACCCCCAGCATCCGCTTCCCTGCCCTGATATTAAACGCCCAGGTCTTCATGTTTCTCACTCATAACCACTACACACCCTCCTCTGTGAAGGCTTCCTAGCCTGCTCACACAGCCCCACTGTGGCCACTGCCCTTTCACCCCCTCCAGTCCTTCACTGACAAAACGCCACTCATCTGTCACTGACCTTGGGAGCTGTGAGGTAGCTCCTCGGGTAAAGGTGCCAAATCAGAGGACTTAAGTTCAGTCCCCGGAATGTTCATGGCAGAAGAAGAGAACAAACTCCCGAAATTTGTCTTTGGACTCTCACACATGTGCTGTGGCACATGTAACACCCCCCCCACACACACAACATTTGAAAAACGTAAACAAAGGAAACAAGGTTGACCTCAGATTTAGCTTCTTCCATGAAGCTTTTCTTATTTTGCCTCTCCAGAGAATCTCTAATTCCCTTGCCCTACATGATATTTCCTGTATCCCTTTCATGGTCCTCATCCCCCTCGAGTCTTGGCAACTGAACTACAGCCATGCTCCTTCCTGCCATGTCCTCTTCTCTGTGTAACGCCTTCAAACAACACCACCCTTCTCTGCACAATGGGTGCTGACCATGGATGCCGACCATGGGTGCCGAGCATGGGATAGTTAGCTGTGAACCCACAGGGAAGCAGGAAGGATGAAGTGAATTAGAGCTTGGTGCGGATTCTTGTGTTAGGCAGCAAGAACAAGCAACTTTAAATTCAACGCAGTTATCATCCTTGGAGAAAGCACAGGATGGGGACTCTTAACCAAGTGCCCGGATGCTCCTGGAAGCCTTTGTGCAGTACTTTAATCTCCAAGACCCTGAAATCCACGTCCAGAAAAACCTCTTCCAAGAAGATAAGGATAGTTCCTAGTTCTCTGAACTCCCTGGATCTTGTCTTTATGAGAAGCGAGGCAGGCAGTCAGCCCAGATAAGGCAGAAAAGAGACACGAACCTGAAGGGAAAGTAGCCACGCTGGCAGCACCAAACACTAGCTAACCATTAGCTCTTGGTCCTGGGGACGCTCCCCCATAAATATTTGAAAGTTCAAACTCCAGTTATTTGGAGGGCACCAAATAATTAAGTTAGCTCCTGCCCTCTTCCTGTCAGAGACCAATGAAGGGAATCGCTCTGCTTTGGTATCTCTTGACTGTAGGATGCTCTTTTGTCTCACTGGGGTCCTTAAAAGTGACTCCTTGTGGGAGAATTTGGGGACCACAGAGGTGCAGGTAGGGAGGAGCACTCAATAAGAGTCAGAGCCTCTGTGGTACAGAGAAAGCTTTGTAAGCCAGGTGCCCAAGGCGACAACTAGACAGTATTCCTAACACTGGGGAATCACTTCACTGGAGTTTATAGTGAAGAAGGGCACTGGCTTCAGATCCTGTAGGAAGGGCGCTTGCAGCTCAGAAGGGAAACTGCACATTTTCACCAGAGGAGGGACACAGGAAAGAAAAAAAAAATCTCTCCTCCCTCTTCTACTGACCCCCCACCCCCATTCTCTCTGATCTCAATTTAAATTGCACTTTTGATCCTCAGTGCTCCCACGGGTTGGCCTGCTCCACTCCACAAGGAGCTATAAAATGTCTGCCCCTCTGTGGGCACAAAGGGTGTCTGCCTTAGTCTCTGGTAAGTCAGCTTTGCGTGGGGAGTGTCTGATGAATACTGAAAAGTCCCAATCAGAAGAAAACAGACAGACTGGAAGTTAGGGAAAAACTTCCTTTACAAGTAGGAAAATAACCTGGGTGTACTGGCCCACATTTGCAACCTCAGCACTCCAGAGGCTGAGGCAAGAAGGTCATGAGTTCAAGGCCAGCTTGGGCTACGTGGTGAGACTTTGTCTCAAAACAAAACAAACACAGCAACAAGTGGGAAAAGAATCTGTGTGTTCATGTGTGGTAGAAAAGAGGAGAGAGGAAGACAGCGAGAGAGGTACACTGTAAAGACCGTCAAGGTTTCTAGATTATTCCAAGAGCTTTTACCATATGTGAAAATAAAACATCAGGATCACAACAGCTCGAATGGATGGAGACGGTAACAGAGCCGACCTCAGAATGGGATTGCGCCTTTCTCCAGGTAGTTGGGTGTACTATTTTTAATAGGTACACAATAACTGTTCATACTTACAGGGGTGGTGTGACATTTAAGCATTCATGTGCGCACGCGCACACATACACACACACACACACACACACACACACACACACACACACACAATCTTGCAATGACCAGATCAGGGCAATTGACTTATTTATCTTTACAGACTTTTACTATCTCTTTGTGTTGTGAGCATTCAAAATCTTCCCTACTTACTACTTTGAAATAATTAATTACTGTCAATCATAATGATCCTGCTTGTATCATAGGGCATTCAAAATTACTTCTGGGACTGGAGAGATGGTTCAGTGGTTAAGAGCACTGGCTGCTCTTCCAGAGGCTCAGGCTACAATTCCCAGCATCCACATGGCAGCTCACAGCTGCCTGTAACTTCAGTTCCAGTTCCAGTGACTTCAATACCCTCATACAGACATATATATAGGCAAAACACCAATGCACATAAAATACAAATAAATAAATTATTTTTTGTTTGTTTGTTTGTTTGTTTTTTTGAGACAGGGTTTCTCTGTGGCTTTGGAGCCTGTCCTGGAACTAGCTCTGTAGACCAGGCTGGTCTCGAACTCACAGAGATCCGCCTGCCTCTGCCTCCCGAGTGCTGGGATTAAAGGCGTGTGCCACCATCGCCCGGCTATAAATAAATTATTTTAAAAAAAGAAAGTTACTTCTGGGTGAGGATGTGGTTCAGTGAGTTTGCCTCAAATGTCCCATATTTATGTCCCAGCACCATGGAATAAATCAAAACAAAAACTGAAACTTATTTCTCCCATGCAGCTGCACCCCTGTGCACGGCAGCCATGCTCTCCCTGCCTCTCCTTTTCCTTACCCTGCCCCAGGCTTTTGTATCAGTGTTCTAGTCTCTACTGCTTTGAGGCTGGTGTCTTAGCTACCACCTGTGAGCAAGAACATGCACTATTTGACTTTCTCTGCCAAATGTATGTCCCATCCATGTCACTGCAGCAGCAGAATTTAATCTTCATGGCTTAATCATATTCCAGCATGCATATATGTTTGTGTGCACGTTCATCTGTCAGCAGACAGCACAAAGGATTCTCTATTGTGGTTCTTGTCAATAGTTATGCAATAAGTGTGCAAGTGTCTAGTGTGTGTGACATGAAAGATGTTTGTTCAGTTCAGTTTCTTTGGGTATGTACCTGGTATTAAGATTCTTGTTGTTGGGGGAGCCTTACTAGACCTGGATAGAGATGGGCGGTCCTTGGGCTTCCCACAGGTCAGGGAACCCTGATTGCTCTTCGAGCTGATGAGGGAGGGAAACTTGATCGGGGGAGGGGGAGGGAAATGGGAGGTGGTGGCGGGGAAGAGGCATAAATCCTTAATAAATAAATAAATTTAAAAAAGAAAAAAAAAGATTCTTGGATCAGGTGGTAGTTCTCTTCTGTGTTTTGGTTGTAAAACTGTACAGTTTCTGTGTGGCTGTATCAATTCACACTCCCATCATCTCTGTATGAAAGGTTTTTCTTTTTAAAAAAAATTGTGTGTGCGTGTAAGACACACGAGAAGGTGTGTGTACCATGGCACACATGTGGAGGTCCGAAGGCAACTCCCAGGGCTTGGCCTGTGGGTTACTGCCGAGACTGAGCACAGCCTGTCTTCACGGGAGAGGCAGAAAGGCACCTTCCCCCACCCACCGAGCCATCTCGCCCGCCCTGAGAGTTTCCTTTCTCTGCAGCCCTCCCTGCATTGGCTGCTCATTTCCTTATAGAGCCATTTTCACTGCGGCGAGGCTCCATCTTGGACCTTTGCTCTGCATCTCCTTGCTGAGGTGTGATGTTGCGTGTGTTTGCACCTGTTTTCTAGCTGTACATCCTTTCTCGAAAAATGTGACTCAGGTGTTGGCCTATTTAAAAACAGAAATATTTGGATTTTTGTTGTCAGGTTGTTTCAGTCCCTGATATGTCCCGAGAGTTGCACCCTTCAAATGAACAGATTGCAAGGATTCCCTCCCATAGGAGGTTGTCTTTAGTCTCATATCATTCCTTGTGCTGTTCAGAAGCATGTTCCATTTTAAATAATCACATTTGCCTTGCTCCGGGACAGGGGTTCTTAAAAAGTATTTGAAGGACTAGCGAGATGGCTTGGCAGGTAAAGCTGATATGTCTGATGACCTGAGTTCCATTCCCAAAGCCCACATTGCAGAAGGAGAGGACACTCACAGTTGCCCTTTGATGCCCACACACATACATAAGTCAATACGTAAATAAATAGATAGGTCAGTAATATAAAAGCAGGGAAAGTGAAGGGAAGGATCATGAATTTGAGTTTGATCTAAGCAACCTAGTGACTCCAGTCCAGGCTCCATAGTGAAATCACGTCTCAAACAAATCAAATCAAAACAAGACGAATCTTTACCCACCTAGATTAGCATGTGTCCTGCATTTTCTTCCAGTAGATTTATGATTCAGGACTCTCACCCATTTTCAATTTATTTTTGTATGGAGAAAGTCAGGGCTCAGTTCTACTGTGGGTAGATAGCTCGCTTTCTCAGCAGCACTCATGGAGAAGTTCATTTCTTCAAGGTGTATTCTTGACACCTTGGCAAAAACTCAGCTGGCTAGGAAAGTGTGGGTTTATTGATTCTGAGTTCTTTACTCTGCTCTGTTGGTCTATGTGTCTGTTTTTATTTCAGGGCTGTGTAGTTTGAACTATTATATCTTTTTAGTGTGTGGTTGTTGCTTTGTTTGAGAAGGGTTCTGCTATATAAGAACTGGCCGACCTGAACCTTGCTCGGTAGCCTAGGCTGGGTTCCTACACACAACCTCCTGTCTCAGCTGCCCATGTACTTGGATGGTGGATGTGCACTTCAATGCCCAGGTTTGTACCTTTTGAAGTCAAGTCTCCTAACACCTAACACCTTTGTTCATGTATATACAGATATATACATATATATAGTAGGAGTATTCTTTTTTCTTTTTTAAACATTTGTGAGTGTGTGAGTTTAAATGCTCACATGTACATGTGTGAACACATGTGTGTGTGCATGTGCATGCACGCACACACTCGCACGTACCTTATAAAGAGGTCAGAGGTCAACACTGGGTGTCTTCCACACTCTCCATTTCAGTTTTGGAGACAGCATCATTCCCTGAACATGGAGCTTTCTGATTGACTAGACTAACTGGATCATGGGCCCCAGTGCTGCTCCCGTACTCAACATGCTTAATTAATTGATTAATTAAGCTAACGGCCTATCAGGGTGATTTATTATTTCAAGGACTACTATTTCATTGTTCCTTTCATTGCTTTATTTTCTAGTTTGTTTATTTCTGCTCTGCTGCTTGTTATTTCTTTCCTTCTAGTACGTTTGAGTTGGTTCTTACTTTTCTTGTTCCTTGTATTGCATCATTAAGTTGTTTATTGCATTGCATCATTAAGTTGTTTATTCGTAATCTATTTGTTTGGCACAGACATGTTGCCATATGCTTCCTTCCAAGGGTTGGTTTTGCTGTGTCTCGCGGGCTTTGGAATGTAACAGTTTCACCTGCATTGAGATTGTTGTCCAGAAACAGCAGCTGTTGGTGGAATGTGCTGCCAACGTGTTTCATTCGCTTGGTCTACAGCCCAGGTGAACTCTATTGTTCCTTTGTTGACTGTCTGTCTCAATGATCTATCTTATCTATTGATGAAAGTGGTGGTGGTAAAATTCCAAGTTATATATTAGGATCTGTTTTTCCAGTTCTATCTGATGTCTTGCTTTATAGAATCCATGCCCCTGCACTGAATGTATATGTATTTACAAGTATTTCCTCTTGCTGACTTTATCTATTATTTATTTATTTATTTATCTATTTATTCCTCTTGCTGTCCATTTATTATTAGACAGCAACCTTCTTCATCTCTTTCTGTAGACTTTATTACAGTCTATCTTATCTGACATGAGCATAAGTACTCCTGTTAGCATTGGGGGTTCTTCTTATGTATCTTCTCCATCCTGGCACTATTGGCTTATGTGTATCTTCAGTAGTAATAAGTTTACTGTAGAGAGTGTATCAATAGGACTTGGTTGTAGTCCAAAGCCAATTTATATCTTTTAGATGGGATATTGGAGTGTCTTTTATTTTTTTTATACATGTTTTGCTGGTCATTTGTATGGCCTGTGATCCTTCCTTTTCTTGTTCATCAATGTGGTTTGATGGTTTTCTATTCTGATAGATTTCTCTTTCTCCTTTTACATATATCCACTCTGCTATTGTGTTCTACATTTTCAGATGTCTTCATAGTTTGGTCATTTTTTGTCACCTCAGTATAGAATTTCCATAAACGTTCTTTTAGAAGTTATTGGTCAGTGATGAATTCCCTGCTTTTTCTTATCTTGCTAAGACTTCATTTCTTCATCTCTGAAGAATAGCTTTGCTGCATATAATATTCTTGGTTGGCAGTTCTTTTCTTTCAGAACTTTGAATATCACCCCATTCTCTACAATCCTGAATGGTATCTGCTGTTGATCTAATGGACAGTTCTTTATATATAACTTGAGTTATTTCTTTTGTTGTTTTGGAATTTCTATCTTACACTTTTCTATTTATTTATTTACTATGTGCGTACACATGTATATGTGTATGCTATGGCCGTGTCTGTGCCGCAGTGTGTGGAGATTAGAGGACAGTCTGAAGGAGTTGTTTCTCTCCTTCCACTATGTAGATCCTAGGTCTTGAATTCAGGTCACTGGGTTGACAGCAAGTGTTCCTACTTGCTGAGCCACTTTGGCAGGCCTGTCTTAACTCAGCTGTGCTTTGCTAAGTCTCATAGGCTTCCTTTATGCATTTTCATCTCTTCTTTTTTTCATTGGATTAATTTTTAAAAAGCATGCCTTCTTTATGCTCAGAAGCTGTCTCTTTTGCCTACTCAGTTGTATTTTTATGACAGTTATTACTATTCTCCGAGCTGAAGAACATAATAACTGCCACTCCCTATGACCAAGCGTTCAAATATATGAGCCTATGTGGGCAATTCTTATTCAAACCACCACCCCTGCAATCCCAATACCTAGGAGGTAGAGTCAGGAGAATCCAGAAAAACTAGCCTGCCTGGCGTAAAGTGAGAGACCCTGACTCACAAATCTCAAATCCAAAACAACAACAAAAGACACACATGTAAACAAAACAAAACAAGCTCTTAGAAGTTAAAATAATAAACAGAAGCCGGGCGGTGGTGGCGCACGCCTTTAATCCCAGCACTCGGGAGGCAGAGGCAGGCGGATCTCAGTGAGTTCGAGACCAGCCTGGTCTACAAGAGCTAGTTCCAGGACAGGCTCCAAAGCCACAGAGAAACCCTGTCTCAAAAAACCAAAATAATAATAATAATAATAATAATAATAATAATAATAAACAGAGAAAAGGTATAAAGGCTTTTGTATTTGTTACTCTTCCTTTTGCTATGACAGGATATCCTAACAGAAGCAACTTAAGGGAGGAAGCAGTTATTTTGGTTCACATTTTTAGGGTTCAGTTTATCATGGTGGGGAGATCACAGTGACAGGAGCTTGAGACAGTCAGGAGTCAGAGGACACGGAGTAGTTACGCTCAGCTTGCTTCTTCCTCTTCATACAGCCTAGGACCCAACCCAGGGTGAAGTGCCACACTCCTCCAGGGTGGGCTGTTGGAGCCTGCTCCAACAAAGGCAGCTAGGGTACATGGAAGTGGTGTGAGGTTGAGGAAATGGCAGATTGAAAGAAATTGAGACAGAAAACATAGGATAGATTTGGGAGGTTGGTTTGATAAATACCAACCAGCCCAGAGTTTATTTTAGAACTTGCTCTTACACCAGTTAAAGGCAGAAGGCAGAACAAAGAGCGGTACAGTCAGTCAACCCCCCCACACCCTACCCCCACCCCCGCGCACTGTCCTTAGAGAAAGCTCACGCAGTTTTTTATCTGGACGTGCCTTGGGCTGGTACTTACCAGCCTGTGTCTTGTTAGATAATGTGTTCCTTTTTATGGGCAAAATGCTCTTTCCCATGGGCTTAATCAAAATGTTTTTTACAGTTCTCAAGGAGAGTGAAACAAGCAAGCTTGAACTCAATGACTTATAAGTCAGAAATAGACTCCAGATGGAAACTGAGTCACATGTGGGTTACTACAGTGGGCCTTCCCATCTCAATTAAACCATCAAGATAATCCCTCATAGGCAGGCCTGAAAGCTAACCTACTCTCAAAGATGGAGGCTTGTCTCCTAGGCAATCCCAGATCCTAAGGACTTGATCATCAACACTGACGTTACACTCTGGGAGTCTAGACTGCCATTCAAAGAGCGTGGAATGTGATTAGGATTTAGGATAAGTTAAAGGATGAAAGGGTCAAGTCAACAGATACAACTACTAAATTTTCACTCCCTTGCTAACACAGCTTTAAAACATACCAAAACATGAATGAAATAATTACCCCATTGCTTTCGCGGCAACTGTCGAAAGGCCATTAGTGGATTTACAGCTGTTATTTTAACCACAGGTTTTTCACAATCCCTCCTGCTCCCCTGGCTAAAACAGACACTTGGCCGAAAGACGTGGGCATCCTTGCCCTGGAGGTCTACTTTCCAGCCCAATACGTGGACCAGACTGACCTGGAGAAGTTCAACAATGTGGAAGCAGGGAAGTACACAGTGGGCTTGGGCCAGACCCGAATGGGCTTCTGCTCGGTCCAGGAGGACATCAACTCCCTGTGTCTGACAGTGGTGCAGAGGCTGATGGAGCGCACGAAGCTGCCGTGGGATGCTGTGGGCCGCCTGGAAGTGGGCACGGAGACCATCATTGACAAATCCAAGGCTGTGAAGACAGTGCTCATGGAACTCTTCCAGGATTCAGGCAACACTGACATCGAAGGCATAGATACCACCAACGCCTGCTATGGTGGTACTGCCTCCCTTTTCAATGCTGCCAACTGGATGGAGTCCAGCTACTGGGATGGTATGTGTTTCTGGGACATTACAGAAGTTGGGTTCTTAGAGTAGAGGCTGAACGCTATGTTCTGCTTGTTAGCTCTCCAGAGGGCTTTATCCTGGGAAGGAAGGGAAAGGCAATTTATTTCTACAGCTGCTGCTATTGCCCAACAAAAACAGTGAGAACAACCAGGTAGATGTTCACGCGGCGGTTCATTTATTCTGTGCATTATCCCGTGGCGTGAGTCCTGTACCTGATCATAGAGGAGAAAATGAAATGATTGGTGTCTTACTGTTTCAGTTGCTTGTCTCGTGTCTGAGTTTCAGAGATTTTAGCTAATTGCCATCATGGCAGGAAGCACGGCAGCATGCAAACAGACATGGTGCTGCAGTTTAGCTGAGAGTTCTCCATCCAGATCTATAGGCAAGAAGAGACTTGGGGCTTAGCTGGAGCTTTTGTAACCTCAAAGTTCACCCCCAAAGACTCTCTCCTCCCAAAAGGTCATATCTCCTAATCCTTTCAAATAGTGCCACGCCCTGGTGACTAAGCATGCAAATACATGGACCTATAGGGTCATTCTTAGTCAAACCTACACATTAACCTCCCAGAGCCTCCAAGCTCTTGTTTGCCTTTCTGCCTTTCAGGGCTGAGGGAAGGACTGAATGAAGTACTGACTGGGGTGTGAGGGGCCTTGGCGGTCTCCGTAGTTACTGAGTTCGAAACTAGGCCAAAAAGCACTGAAAAATAAAGTGAATACTAATTACAAAATTAATTTTAAGGTCCTGATGTGGTGATGGGTCCTAGGAAATATACAGCCCAATATTCTTTGCTTTAAGTAAAGAGACCAGGACTGCAGAGAGGGCTCAATGGTTAAAGTACTTGCTTTCAGGGCAAGCACGAGGACTGGAGTTTGGATCCTGGATCCCAAGTTAAAGCTGGGCGAGCGAAAAGAGAATGAGAGTATAAAAATGAGGGGGCTGGCAAGACGACTCTTTAGGTGAGGGTGCTCGCTGCCAAGCCTGGTGATCTGAGTTAGCTCCAGGCTCCACGAGGTGGAAGGAGAGAACTCTATCAAGTTGTCCTTTTATTTCCTTTTGGCGTGACTTTTATAAAGGAAGGAAAATAGATTTTTGAAGAACTTAATCATTAAAAAAAAGTTGGCATTAAAAGGCACACACTGAAATGAACCAGACTCAAAGGCTATTCAACTCAATGGAGTTCTCTGTAGTTAGAAGAGCCACTCGGAACAGCCTCTGTAGATTTTATACTTCCACAGTTGAAAGTATGCTTATGCATGTATCCACCACCAAAACCAGAAACTCCACGAGAGAGTTAGAACTAAAAAAAGAATTTGCTTTGTAACTCATGACCAGCACCTGCCTTCAGTCCTTCTTCATCTGCCGCAGAAAAATCGTTTTGTATGCTGTGAATCTTTTTGCACATTTGTTTGCATATAGACCAATCTTATTAACTAAATTCCACATCTGAGAGAAAACCTGAAAAGGTTTGCATCCCGATAAACCTCTCTACCAATGCAATAATCCAAATCAGACTAAATCAAACCAAATTAGAAAAAGCCCAGGTTTAATGGATGCCAGCGCATCTGGGTTGGCATTCTAGCCCCAGAGAGGAGATGGGGAAGGAAGACTGGGAAACCGCGTGCTAGTTCTCTGTGGGGACAGTTTAAATACCCTGTGGGAGTGGTCTTGAGCAACTCTGGGAGCAACTTTGGCAGGGGGTCACCATTTGGCAGGCTTTCTTGGAGGTGGAGTCTGGACTGAGGCAACTCCCAGGGGAGGGGCTAGGGATGAAACTTTTCACCCAAACATCCCAGACTCTTTGGATTTATTGATGCCAGGGGTTGGGGGTGACACTTTCAATCAAACAAAAACGTGTCTTTTTCTTCCTGAAATTGCGTGGCCTTGCTTAATATTATACATTTTAAGTCCATCCGCTTTCTTGCAAACGTTGTGATTTTGTTTTTCTTTTAGGCTGAACAATGTCCTATTTTATATATAAAAATTTCCTTTATCCACTCAGCTCTTGAGGAATATTAGGATGATTCCTCTTCTTTGCCACAGAGAATAATGCAGCAGTAGACATGGGGTGCAGATACCTCTGTGGAAGGGTGTGGGGTTCTCTGGGTATACGGTCAGGAGCGGAACAGTTAGGTGATATGCTAGTTCTGTGTTTACTTTTTGAGAAATCTCCAAACTTATTCCCACAGCAGCTATATTCATTTGAAGCCCTGCCAATACTGAATAAGAGTTCCTCTCTCTCCGTGATGTCTCCAGCATTTATTGGTAGATTTATTGATGATGGGCATTATGACTGGGGTGCTAAGGTGGCATCTCAAAGCCGACCTGATGGCTAGGAATATCAAACACTTGAAACAACAAGTGGTCACTTGTGCTCCTTTTTCACCTTTTTGAAAAGTGTCTATTCCATTTATGTGCTCAGTTGTGGACTGGGGCTTAATTTCCTTGGTATTTAATTTCGGCATTTTTTTTTTTTTGGTAAATTCTTGATAGTGGCCTACTGTCTGGAGCTTAGCTGGTAAAGACCTTCTTCCAGGCTGTGTGAATATTTTAGGTCATTTTTCTGTTACACAGCTTGTCTTTTTTAAATGAGACTTTTGTAATGAAGGGAAATAGATTTTTTTCTTGGTTATACATATTGTAAATACTCTGGTTTGTCTTTTGATTTTGTCTCTCCCTAGAGATTTGGTTTTTATGGTTAAATTTAAAGGTCTTTTCCTTAATGATATGTAAGTGCTTTTCTATAGTTTTTGAAATTTTCATATTGAGAATGAAAAAAATAGATACATACAAAAATGTTATTTTATTCTCCAGTGGCCCACATGTACAGTGTGAGGGAAAACCCTAATACTTTCTCTTAGGGTTGTTACAAGTAGTGAGAGGAGGCCCTGGGACTTGAAGGAATCTGAGTTGGCCTCCTGGTCCTCAAAACTTCATCCTACAGTTTAATATCTTAAGTTCTGTGGGCCTCGGTTTCTTCCTTCTTTGAGGAGGCCGTGGCTAGGTTGTGACTCAGTGGAAGAGCGCTTGCTTGCCTAGCATGCTCAAAGGCTTGGCTCAACCCGCAGCAGTGCCTGGGGAGAGGGTCTGATTGATATGGCTTAGGAGTCAGTCAGAACAGGGTTTGAGTTTCAAATTCCACATCCCCTAGGTCGGTGGTTCTCAACCTTCCTACGGCTGTGACCCTTTAATACAGTTCCTCATGTTGTGATGACTCCAACATGGTAATTTTTGTTGCTATTTTATAACTGTAATTTTGCTATGCTGTTATGAATCATAATGTAAATATCTGTGTTTTCCAATGGTCTTAGGTGACCCCTGTGAAAGGATCATTCGTTCACAAAGGGGGCATGACCCACAGGTGGAGAACCACGGCATTAGTTGAACACTCCAGATAAGTTTCTTAGGAGGCCGTGTCTTCAGACATGTTAGCCTAGCCTCCTCCCTCCTGATGCCTTGTCCTTCTATGGTTTAGCAGACACATGAATATGTAGGTGCTCTAAGTTGGTTGGTACAAACCTAAACTGTCCCCACACGTGCCAATCAACAGAGCTTTAAGCAACTTTGGAAATGGTATCCTGACCAGACATGGTGGCTCTAATTTGTCATCAGCCACTTCCCGATGCAGGAGGATCTTGAATTTGATCCAACCTGGCGTATGCCATGAGACCATGTCTCCAAAACACTCCAAACAGGTATGGAGAACGAATGGCTGAGCAGTTAAGAGCGCTTGTTATTGCAGAGGACCTGGGTTCAGTTCCCCATTCCCGCATGGAGGCTCACAACTACCCGTAACCACAGTTTCAGAGTGTTCAACCACTTCTTCTGACCTCTATGGGGACCAGACATACACGTGGTGCAGACACATGCATGCAGGCAAAACACTTATACACATAGACTAAATAAATCTAAAAAATAAAGCTTAAACTCTAAAAATAGAAACAAAATTTTGAAAAAAATAAATAATCCTGGGGACCAGCAATATGGTTCGGTGGGTAAAGGGGCTTGCTGCCAAGCCTCATGACCTGCGTTCCTTCGCCAGCACCCATGCAGCGAGGCCTGACTTCACAAGTTTTTCTCTGACTCCCACGTGGTTTTTGTTCTGTCTTCTTGTATGCATGTGAACGTGCATTCACTTAAAAACTACATCGAAAGTCTGGAGGTGGTAGCTCACACCTTTAATCCCAGCACTTGGGAGGCAGAGGCAGGTGGATCACTGTGAACTTGAGGCCAGCCTGGTCTACAAATAGAATGCCAGAACTGTCACACAGAGAAACCCAATCTTGAAAAACCAAAAAAAAGCATAAAAAAGTTTTAAATGTAATATATATATATATATATATATATATATATATATATATAATTCTGAGTGAGTTAGGATTCCATAGTGAGACTGTAGGGGCACTAAGCACTGAATTTATATTTCAAATACAAATGGATTGTGGGTTTTACTAGAGTTTATGTGTACTATTTATCTTTTTTTTTTAAGGTCTGGTTCCATTTATTTCCAGAATACAAAACTGTGCTCGGCACACAGCTGACCTTCTCTACTCCAGGTTTGGCAGTGATGTCTGAAGGTCTGTTTTTGCAGGTCGCTATGCCCTGGTGGTCTGTGGTGATATTGCGGTCTACCCAAATGGTAACGCCCGGCCGACAGGTGGCGCTGGAGCTGTGGCGATGCTGATTGGGCCCAAGGCTCCTCTAGTGCTGGAGCAAGGTTCGTAATTAACATTCCCAAGAGGCTGCAGGTGGTACGGTGGTACGTTCACATCAAAGATCCTAATCCCAAACTGTCGCGTGCACTCCTCAGGGTCGGGGGATGGTGGTGGCTCTCCTCTCAAAGTCTGCTTAAGGGGGAGAGAGAGAAGCCAGAATCTGTGGTTTCATCATGCCTGGGGGTGGTGGGTGGGGCGGACAGTGTATGGAGTGGGCCTGCCAAATGCGGGTTCGGAACCGTAGGGATCCATGGTGAAACTAGCGGTGAAAGACGACATTCAGCCATAAAGTCTGGTTTGGAGAATTCTGGCATAGGCGACAGAACAAAGCCAGGAGTCTCTTTTCTCACTGGTCTCACCCATCCTTTCGGCTTGAGGCAGCCTGTGTGAGAAGCGGTCTCTGAAACCGTCTGTGCCTTTCCAGGGCTGAGGGGAACCCACATGGAGAACGTCTATGACTTCTACAAACCAAACTTGGCCTCAGAATACCCACTGGTGGATGGGAAGCTTTCCATCCAGTGCTACATGCGGGCCTTGGATCGGTGCTACGCAGCCTACCGCAAGAAAATTCAGAACCAGTGGAAGAAAGGTACGGGGCTGGGAGGGCAGAAAGCGGGGCTGCTACTCATGGCCGAGAGTCTTCCTTTACCTTTCCCTGGGGGGAGCACTTTGTAAGGCCTGTGGGACGAGTGAGACAATGTGCGGAGGAATGAATGAGAGAGCCTCCCATGAGTCTGCTGGGAGTGGAACCCACTTCTTAAGGAAGCTGAGCCGCTGGGCATCGTCACATCTGGGAGGGAGGATCTTCCTAGCTGGGAGGGAGGATCTTCCTAGCTCATTGTCACACCGCCTCTCACCTCTTCACCTTCTTTTCTAGCTGGAAATAACCAGTCTTTCACCCTCGACGACGTGCAATATATGATCTTCCACACGCCCTTTTGCAAGATGGTCCAGAAATCCCTGGCTCGGCTGATGTTCAATGACTTCCTGTCATCCAGTGGTAACACACAGAACAACTTATACAAGGGCCTGGAGGCCTTCAGGTGGGTCTTCTTTAAGTGGAAGGCTTGGGAAGTGTGAGCGAGGAGGCTCCCTCGCACCTCGGATGTGGACTTCAGTCCTTCACAAAGCAGAAACGATGCTTTCTTTCAGTAGAGGGAAGGGATGGGGCAGCTGTGCAGGGCTCTCCGTGTATTAGGTGAGGAGAAGATAAAAAGAAAGAACGAAAGCCAAGCAGGGTGTGTGGTTATGGATTTGGTTTCTAGTTTTCTAACAGACTATGGAAGTGTGCATAGATGCCACAATGAAGTGTGTGTAAATGCTGTCTCAGTCGACAGGAATGTGATGTTGAGGTCTACAGACGTTTCAGTTTGTAATAAAAACCATGCACCCCAGAGCTTTCTCGCCTGCCATGTTCCTGGCCTTATTGTCTTGTCTACTCTCATGTGACATCTTGCTCTGCCTCACAGGGGTCTAAAACTGGAAGAAACCTACACCAACAAGGAGGTAGACAAGGCGATTTTGAAGGCCTCCCTGGACATATTCAACAAGAAAACCAAGGCCTCGCTTTACCTGTCCACGAACAATGGGAACATGTACACCTCGTCCCTCTACGGGTGCCTGGCCTCCCTTCTCTCCCAGTGAGTACTGCCCCTCCCACCTGCTGTTTCCCATTTGTAAGCTGATAGCCCAGCCAACACTTGCTCCTTTCCATTGAAACTTTTGGTTTGTTGATAGACTTTTACAATAAAGGGGGTGACAATGGATAGAAAGGTTACAACTTGTCCCAGAGGTGGTTGGGGGGCAGGTTTGCTAGCTGTGTTGAACTTCCCTGGCATGAACATATGTATACTGGGGTATGTGCCAGATTTACCCAGGCAGGAAGAAAATAGAACTTGTGGGGGGTATCTTTATTTCACCAATTTAAAATCTCTATACTTAATACAGCATGGTGGATTGGAGTTATGGACCCCATAACTGGTTCTAGCCTGTTTACCACTTGTCTTGAAAATTAACTTCCTGGACCTGTATGAGCCTTGCTTTCTGTACCTGTGAAATATCTATGTAACTTTCCACAGTTCCTTTTTATCCTTTGGTAATTTCTTACAGTATAAAATGTACTTAGATGTATCCTTCCTCCATCACATACTGCAACTCCTCCTGGACCACCACTTAACTACCCCTTTTATTTTATTTTTATATAACTCACTGAATCCAGTTAGTGCTTCCTATATCGTATGGGTATAGGGTCATCCGCTGGAGCATAAGCAACCTACCAAGGGCCACACCCTGAAGAAACCGACTCCCCTCCCTCAGCAGCCATCAGCTACCAACAGCTCTGCAGTTAGGATGAGGCGGCATGAGCCGTCTCTACCCATGCAGGAATTGTGATGGGCTTGGCCGAATGCAGGCAGCCAGAGTTGCAGCGTGTTCATGAGTGCAAAGGCCCTGACATGTCCAGGAGGCACAATTTTGCCGCAGTCTAACCTGACTTCTGGATCTCACAATCTTTTTCCTCTTTTGTGATTGTCCCTGAGGGGTGTGTGTGTGAGATACAGATGTCTTCCCATCAGTGCCATAGTGACACAAATGTTATTGGAATAACCAACAGCTTTCTAATTGGATTTGAGGTCAGCTCCGTAGGAGGGAACTCATGTCTGGTATTGTAAGCCTGTCCAAGAACCCATGATTGGGTAGGTCTTAGGTCCTACACGAGAACCTACGATTGCTTTGCTAAATAGACATGGTATTGAACATTCTTCTAAATACCTATCCATATGCTCATATGTTAGTACAGCTCTCGTCCCTGCCTCTTTTGGCTGTGGCTAGTGAGCAATACAGAGATTAACAACTGGTCAAAGTATGGAGGATGAACGACTATGGAATGCTTTCCAGTTTTCATGAAAATTGCCTTAAAACATTACGATGCTCAGAAAGCACTCAAAGGCTGTTACCTGTACTGATTTTTTCCTGTTTTGCGGTGTTTATAAGGGAACACTGCATATTATATAGAAAAGATACCTAGAGGTGAACTTGATCAAATTACTGATGGGGGATGCTCAGAAAACTGAGTCAAAGGAATGTGTGCTAGCAAATGCCTGTACTCCCAGAACTGTGGAGACCTGGGGAGGGGGACCGTAGAGATTAAGGTCAGCCTGGGCTACATAGGTAGGTAGGTACACACACACACACACACACACACACAGTCAAACGATTGCAGTTAATTTGTAATCCCAGTGAGTAGATACATAGATCCACAACACACACACACACACACACACACACACACACACACACACAAGCTGAACCATTGTAGTTTGGGAGCCCTAAGGGTTAGTCCACTGGTCTAATCTGCTACACCTGGAAGCCTCTGCCCTCACAGTTCTGCCTTCATGCTTTGGGCTGTGGCCGCTCTCATTTTGGCAAAGCTTCTTCTTGTTCCCACATCTGGATTCCACCAAAGGTCCCTCTTTGTGCAGGGCACGTGGAGCATACTTCTAGCTGCGTGAGGTGGGCAGTGGTGAGATAAGGCTGACACACAGAAGCTTTATGTGAAATGCAGAATACTGATGTGGATTTTTTTTTTTCACTTGCAGACACTCTGCCCAAGAATTGGCTGGCTCCAGGATTGGTGCCTTCTCCTACGGCTCAGGCTTAGCAGCGAGTTTCTTTTCTTTCCGAGTGGCCAAGGATGCCTCTCCAGGTGAGTCTCATCTTGTAGCAGGTACTCCCGAAACGGTGCCTCACCCTGTGCTTCACCCCAGCTGAGGCTGCTGTCTTAACTGAGCTAAACTGGGATTTAGAGCAAAGAAAAGTCCTGTATACGGTGAAATGCCTGCGAGCACTTCCTCCACAGCAGAGCAGACACAAGGAAGCCTGGTAGACAAGGCAAGGGGTCCTGAGGAATGGGCTGGCCACCTAAAGAGAAGCTGATGGCCCTGAAACAGCCAGTGTCAGCTGCCTGTGGTGTGACTGCTGTGACCAAGACCAGGCACCTAAGCACCATAGGGAGGGGGTCAACCCCCAGACCCCGGCTGCCTATTAGCACCAGCGACGATGACAACAGGACGTTTTAATATTGCTTCTGCTTCCCAGGTTCCCCTCTGGAGCAGCTGGTGTCTAGTGTGTCAGATCTACCCAAACGTCTAGACTCCCGGAGGCGCATGTCCCCTGAGGAATTCACAGACATAATGAACCAAAGGGAGCAATTCTTCCACAAGGGTAAGAAAGGGGGCAGGAAGAGAGAAGAGAGCGATTCACCCCAGACAGCACATCAGTGAACTGTACTGGGGGATTCATCAGACCTTCAGGATGTGATGGGCCAGGGTTACAATTTTTATGATGTGCTTATGAGGCGAGACCTTGAGCAACTGAGCCATCTTCACAGACGGTCTCTAACAGCCATGCAGACCTCAAGCACCAGACCCAAAATGGCGGCTCCTCTGGCCCCTCTTCTATATGATTCTACCTTCCATATGGTGTTCTAGGGGTGGTTTACAGCCCCAGCAGCTCAGTCCGGAGTGCTTCCCCTGCATCTGTGGGCATTCCTACTACTCCGCTCTTTGCTGCATGCTTGCATCTCTCTTTCTAAGTCCTGCTTCTTCTTCTGTGTCCCACAGTGAACTTCTCACCACCCGGCGACACAAACAACCTTTTCCCAGGGACTTGGTACCTGGAGCGAGTGGATGAGATGCATCGCCGGAAGTATGCCCGGCGCCCCGTCTAGAGGAGGTGAGTGAGTTTGTCGAGTTCGTAGCCTGAAGGCCTGGGGGCTTCTCTGTAGCAGACGCAGTTCTGAGTCATTAATCGTGTCAGAGACGGTCATAACTTAAGAGGAGTTACAAACTGTGAGCTTCAGGACATGGGTGGGAGGGGTCTCTGTCTTGGAAATCTGAACTGTGAAAGTCAGATCTCTTCGAGTGTCTAAGTCTCCTAGAAGCTTGGTAAGTCAGAGCCCACAGGAGGAAGCAGCCAGCAGCAGCCAGAACTGCAGCATATTGTTCCAAAGCAATGAGAATCAGAACAACAACAACAACAAAAAAAGACAAGAGAGAAGGCAGATCAGCCCTTTCCTTCCTAAGAGCTGGCAGCATCATGCCACAAAGACGGAGCAGGGCTCCTGAGCCGTTTGCACTGAATCAAGAGCACCAAGCTGGACTGATGTGAAGAATTAAGGTTGATATAGCAGGCCATGGAGCCAGAGTTCCGGCCAAGCCACCCTGACCTCTCATCACCAGCAGAGCATGTGACAGGGACCTGCTTGTCCCCCAGTCTCGGCTCCTTAGCACCGGTTGACAGACTCCCCAGGCATGGCGGCTCACAACTGGGAAGACAGCCAGGGTACCAGGATCTCATAGAACAGGGGTGCTTTCATGCATAGCTGTCTCTGGCAGGGGGCAAGGCCTTGGGGCTGGGGAGCCCAGGGTGAGGGGTGACCAAATCTGTTTCTCCTCCCTACAGATCCATACAACAGTTCCTCGGGAATGGATCTGAGCTGCTGCCCAAACAGTGTCTGCATAAATTTCCACCCACGGCTAGCTGTAAATAATGAATAGACACGGTAGCCCCATAGGATCTGCGGTGAAGAGCCACCAGGCTCAGTGGCTCCTTCGTGACTCTCCCTGATGCCACCACTGCCACAGGCTCATGTTGCTGTGGACCAGAGCTCCCCTGTGAAGAATATGGGAGAAAGGGGGACTGCTGACCCCCATGGAAGTGGATCAGTTGTCTTTTCCCACATTCAGACAGCCCCACCATTTGTTACGGCTCGTTATCGGACTTCAATGCTGTTGCATTTTATGCTCATTACTTAAAAGTTTCCCGAGAATGTCTAAATTTTGTATCTTGTCCTGAAATAATGTATGGCAATAAAAATGAGGGAAGAGACGATGCACATTTTCTAGAAGTCAAGAGCTTCGCAGAGAGCAGGGCACGCATCCCTTCACCCCACCCCTTCCACTCAAAGTCTGTCCAATTCCGCCAAGGACTACGGCAGACACCAGGCAAATAAAGTGACATGGAGCTCCCCCTCCCCTGCTCACTTCTCTATCCTACAGACACCATATCCAGGCAGGGCCAGCAGGTGCTTGGTACATCAAACCCCCCTTGGCATATGTGGCCAGTGTTATCTAGACCAAACATAAAAGCCATAAGATTGGTCAGGCATGGTCACACAGATCTTAGCACTTGGGAGGCCAAGTAAGGGTGAGTTCAAGGTCAAAACCGTGGTGTTCCAGGTCATCCAGGCCTGTCCCTTTCCAGGTCTGGGGCAGAGACGGGAGCAGGCCTTTGCTGCTGGAGCTCTGGCCTTGCAGGAAGCCAAGGCTGAGAGGTAGCCTCTCTGTGCCAGGCGGGCTGGAAAGGAACCCTTCGCCACTGATGGACTAATGGGGCGAGAAGCTCTTGATAGACAGTTGTTTGAATGGAGTTCATTCTGCCACCTTCTGTGAAAATCAAGTGAAACACTACCCAACTCACACTAAGCTTGCTGTGTGCAGCTACTAAGGAAACATGTTCCTTTAGCTCACAAAATCTGTCCAAAGCAACTCCCCAGAGACCAGCATCCTCTGCTCAGAACCAGGAGAATCCCTGCACTCCCACAGCATGTGAGCTGTGTGTCTAGCCACACCCACAAGACTTCTGGTGCCCAGCTGTCCACTTTGAATTCTCTGACGGCAAAGCACCAGCCAGGGCCTGGCATACACCATGCTGAATTTTACTCCTTAATTGCACCCCTAACATGAGAGGATTCTGAAACACTGAGCTACATTCCTGTGAATAATCTTTGAAAGGAAAGGAGGGGCTATCTTTAGAGCACCCAAGCTCAGGTTTTTTTGTACAACCCAACCTTCCACTACATAGTTACTGGTCAGCTGCCAAACCTCCAGAGGCAGCCCATGGGTGCCCTCTGCTGGCTTTTCAGGATAATGACCGCACAGATACCATGTAGTATTCGACTCTTTACTAGATGTTATTTCAGGCAGGTGCTTGGGTTCTGCCCCAGGAACGTGGATCTCCTCTCCCTATAGATCACAGCGAGCAGGTTTCTCAGAAAATCCCGAGGAGCTGGTGCCTCCGAGTCCCAGGTTCAGAAGCAGAACTGGAAGGCTTCAGACACGTGTGGCTTCCATGCGTCCAGGCTGGGCAGCAGGGACGAGAGGCCCATGACGTGCCAGGTCTCTCCGTCTGACACCTTGGAGGTTTGGTAGGAAAGCAGCTGTACACCTGCCTCTGCCAGGAGGCCTGGGGGTGGGCAGAAAGGAAAGCCTGGGTTAGCATGGCACATGGTGGAAGGGGGGAGAGAAGAGGTCGAAGTAGTAAGATGTCAGGTTTCCGTGACCCAGGCCAAAGGGCGGAGGATGGGAGGGGGCGGCACTGATCTAAACAGTAAAGAGCTGCTGCGGCAGGACAGGTGACTTTCCTCTACACCGGCCTCTTCTCAGCCTGAGTATCAGGTGAGGTGGGGAGCTCATACCCTGATGGGAGCTATGCCAACAGCGAGGGAACAAGATAATCAGAGAACTGTCCTCTGGGCAGCTGGCAAAGATGATGAAATAAAGTCCTCCCAGGGTCTGGGGACGCATCCTCTGCCAAACCTGGATGAGATCCAGAACCCTCAGAAGTCCAGGTCCTGGGAGACCTGGGCTGCACCTCCTGTACTCTGACACATTCTGTTAGGCTGGTCACCAGAGCCCGTGGAAGAAATGATCCGTGAAGAGAGTGTGCGGAGAACATGGAGAGTGTGCGGGAACATGGCGAACTTGTGCCATGGCCGGGGGTAACTGGCACTCTGCCCACCTCTGCCCATACTACTCTGTGACCTCAGATGAGCTACTCTCTTTCCCTGTCTGAGCTGTTTCTTTCTAATATTGTGGAAATGGCTCTGCAAGATCCTTGGTGAGGCACATATCGACATGCCCTGAGGCACGGAGAAAGGCCCGATCCCAGGGAAGACCCCATCTCTGCCAGCCTCCCCCGCAAAGCCTCCTCACCAATCATAGTGGGCAGCATAACAGGGTTGGAGGGCGGAGCTCGGAACATGAGCAGGGGCTGGCCCCGGCGCAGTGGCACCTCTGGCCTGAAGACAGCTCCGTTGAGCATCTGCAACATTGGGGTGGTACCCTGGACCAAGCCCACAGCTTGGTAGGGGGCACCTGCCAGGGCGACAGTCAGGAGGCCTTCCCCGCTGCCCTGCTCCCCTGAGGCCCCCGGACTGTGGGAGGTGGTGACCTGCAGTGACAAGACAGGGGCACAGTTGAACAGTCCAATCACACCCAATTGCAGGGAATCAAGCCCGGCCACCAGCTCAGCAGTCTGGGGACAGGAACAAATGGGGAGAGACTCATGTCTCCAGACTTTAGCTTCTCGGGACAGTCAAGATGCCCCATAAAGGGAGGAACAGGTGTCTGCCTGGCTGGCCAGGAAGGGTGGGAAGTGGGAAGCAGAGGACCAAGCACTGCGTAGCTGACCAGCCTGGTCCTTTCTGCACCAGCCTCTTAAGTCAATGGCCTGACTAGGATGCAGGAAAGGGGGTAAATGTGGCAGGGCTGGGAGAACACTGTTCCTAGGACTCCGGCCAGCTTCAAATGGCCACCACATAGTCTTTGATTTCAAGGGGAGTGAGGGAGGAAGCCAATAGAGGAAAGCTCAGAGGGTGGAGGAACCTGTTACCAGGGTTTGCAAGCATCTCTCGGCTCCATTAGATGCAGCCTAAGTCAGCTTTTTTTCAGTTGTGAAATGGAGGTGCCTTACACCCCCCATTCAGGCCATTTATCCATCTATCCATAGTTTTGTGAATATGAGTTCACACCATTACACTCAAACATATGGTCACTCCCTTCACAGATGAAGGCATTAAGGCGGGCTCTCACCAATGGGCTAGCTCTCACCGATGGGCAGGCAGGTGGCAAGAAGCAAACCCAGAGCAAAACTGGGAACAGGCTCTTAAAGCGCAGGGTAGATAGAGCTAGGCACAGGGGCACACGCCTGTAATCCTAGCGTTTGGGAGGTAGAAGCTGAAGGATCAGAAGTTCAAGGACAACCTGGATTATACAAGACTGCCCCCCACCAAATAAAAAGAGGGGTGGCAGAGCAGTGCCCAGAGTAAAGAGGGTGCGCACATTGAGGCCAGCCTCTTTCACTAGTAGCTTAGCGTTCACCAAATTCACATCTGCCTGCTTCGATGCTTCCCTCAGGAGGCCGACAATGACCGCAGGGCTCAGGCAGTTCCCAGCGTTCTTCAGAGATGCTCCTGGGGATACAGAGGGTTACCCCAAAGTTAGTTGTTCACTAGGCACCACTTAGCTCTCAGCAACAAGGCTCTTGTTGCCCTGGGGACCCCAAAGGCAGGCTGCAATGGGCACTGTAATTCCTCAAGAGTGTTTAAAAGCCAGCTGGGGGTGCTGAGCCCAGAAGCCTAGGATATTTTAACCAATTTGAGAAACTCCCCTCCAAAACTGAGACCATCCCGACTGGTCTCCTTGGCCGGCTTGTCTTCCCAGAAGATGCTTGGAAAACTGTGTGCTCCCCACAAGTGGCTGGGGATGGCGACCCTTGCAAGCTCAGAAGCAGAAAGGTGATACTCAAGTAATCACGTGACCAGCGCCCTGCTATGTTTCCTCAGGGGCTTGGGAACTCAAGGCAGTGGGTGTGGCATCCCCTGGCTCCGCCTATCCCTGATAACCTTGGCATTTTGGGTTTACCTGCTCTGCCCAACCTCATGATCTCGCCCCAAGTGTCAGGTGCCAAACAGGCAATTGGGGGTGCGGGGGAGGCCCTGTACAGGATAAAGGGAGGCACCGAACCCTGTCTGCAGAGTGGTGGACCCAATACCAAGGCAACCGAGCCATACACAGTCACAGGTAAAACCAGACCCACATGGTTTTGCTGACCGATTTAGATTCTCTTAAAGATTCCAATATCTTTTACACGAAACTCTCTGGTCTTGCTTGCACGGAGAACTTGTCTATCCTAAAAACACTGCATAAACATGATCTGAGAAAATTAAGTACATTTTCCCAGGGAACTTATATTCTACTTACATACATATTTTTTGTCCAACTCTGTCGTGGGTTGAGCTGTACCCAGAGCAGGGCCCAAGTCCCCTGAGTCTGCCACTAGATCTGCACTGAGCACTGGACACACCCAGCAGATATGAGTCCACAGTCCCTACTCCCCGTCTCCGCAGGACCCCTAGCTCGTGCCGTGGGCCCAGCCGGACCTGGACTCAGCAGATATGAGTCCACAGTCCCTATTCCCTGTTTCTCCGCAGGACCCCTAGCTCGTGCCGTGGGCCCAGCCGGACCTGGACTCACCTTGTGTCACCACCTGGATGGTCCCTTTAGGGGAGCCAGCCCAGGCATGCATGAGTGTGCCCAGCGCTTCTGCCAGACCAATCCAAGGCTTGGTGTGTGGAGAGAAGGCGCTGGTAAGGGCCTGGGCGTTTACCTGCAGAAAGAGGGGGACAGGGTGAGGCTGAGAACCTGCTCAAAAGAGGAACTAAATCAACACCACGTGGCCAAGAGTCAGCCTGCCATGGAGGGGCAACTCAGGAGAAAACAATGATTTATCCCCGTAGACCAGAAGAGCTACAGAGCCCAAGGGCACACAGAGGAAAGTTTCTGCTGCACTATGTAGCCAGAACACGGGCTGGAAGCCTAGCTTCTTCCACTGAGCATACTGGTACTGGCACCCTCTGTGGGAGACGGACTTCCTGTGTGATGGACAGGGGTCTGTCTGGACAGCTCAGTAAAACACGGACATCACAGGTATACGGAAGCAGAGTGATGGTTCTTAGGGAGGGTGATCTAATTTGCCCTTTTTCTGTTGTTTTGAGACGGGGCTTCACTCTATAGTCCAGCCGGGCAGACCTCCCGAGTGCTAGGCTTACA